TCCGCTTTCTCTGTGAGGCGCGGCTGGGATATCCAGCCTTAGCTGCTGCTGTTATCCCTTGCAGCGCAGCCACGGACGAGGAGGGGGAGCCCCAGGGGCCCCCGGGGGGCCCCCTAGAGGGGTTAAAGGGGGCCCTTTCTGTGGCATGTATGGGTGCAGCAGCAGGGCACTGCTCTGGGATTTCGCCCGCCAGCTCTGCGGGGCTTCTGGCGGGCTGGGGGGACCCCCAGGGCTCCCCCTGGTCTTCTGGGGCGAGGGGGGCCCCCGGGGCCCCCGGGGCCCCAGGGGCTGCGGCGCAGCGGGGGGCCCCTGACCTGCTGCTGCTGCTGCTGAGCGGGTACCGCGCTGTGGTGCTGGTCTACGAGGAAGCAGTGGGGGCCCTGCGCACTGTGAGCATGCACAGCTTTGCAGATCTAGGGCCCAAGGCCTCTGCTGTGAATGCCTTTCTTGGGGGGCCCCCCCACCTCAAGTTGGTGGAGGAGGGGCCCCTCTCAGCCATGAAGGGGGGCGCGTGGGGCCCCGAGGGGGCCCTCACAGTACCCGCGGGTCAGTACCCTGTTTCGGTGCTGCGCGCCTTCTGCAGGGCCCTCGTCATTGACCTGCAGCCGTACGGCCTGGGGGCCCCCCTGGGGGCCTCCAGGGGCTCCTCCGTAGGGGGCCCCTTAGGGGGGCCCCTACGGGGGCCCCTTGGGGGTCACTTGGGGGGGCCCCTGGCGGGGCCCCTGGGGGGCCCCCATGAAGGGCCCCCCGCCAAGGGGTTCCTTGCGCTGATGAGCGTTGACTTGCTGCACGTTGTTTGTCTTCATTTTGTTGTCAACGCAGAGGGGCCCCAGGCGGTGCCGGCACCTGCAGCAGCAGCAGCTGCTGCTGCTGCTGCCGCTGCTGCTGCAGCGCAGGGGGACAGTGCTGCTGCTGGGGCCCACATGTCTCCCTCTGCAGCCCACCATGGGGCCCCCAACAGCTTGCTGCTGTCGCCCGCAGGAACCACTCCCTTGCAGGCTGCGTTTGCTGCAGCAACAGCAGCAGCAGGCGGAGGACTCAACAGGGCACAGCAGGGTACTCCGTGGAGCCCGGAGGGCCCCTGGGGCCCCTCGGGGGGTCCCCCAGGGGCCCCCCCGGGAGGCCCTGCAGGGGGCTCCCCAGGGCAGGACACGGGCCTCTTAGGAGCTGCTGGGGCTGGCGCGCTGAGCAGCGTGCCCCCAGTTGCGTTTTTTGCTGCTGCGGTGCAGCGTCAGCAGCAGCAGCAGCAGCAGCAGCAGGCAGCAGAGGAGCTGCAAAGCCTGGGCGAGGGAGGGGGGCCCCCGGGGCCCCCGGAAGGGGGTCCTGGGGGGGGCCCCTCTGCACTGTGGGGTTCCCACAGCCTGTTGGGGGGGGGCCTCGCTGTGTCTTCATGTTTCTTTTTATCTCTTGTAGACGATTTGCCTCTTCCTGAGAAGACAGCAGCAGCAGTAGCTGCTGCTGCTGCTGCTCCTGGAGCCTCTTTTGGCGCGGGGGAGTCGGCGGCGGCGGCGGCGGCAGCAGCAGCAGCAGCCACTGCAGCAGGAGCAGCAGGCCTCCCCTACCTGCTGCACGACATGGTGGCTGTCTCCTCGCTGCTGCTGCCTGCTGCTGCTCTTCTTGTCTCTCAGGGGCCTCGAGAAATTGGTTTAATTCCATTTGTGGGGTCTCCTGGAGCTGGGGAAGTCTCCGCGCTGCTGCTGTCTATAAACCCTGAGGAGCGCGACATACAAGTCGTCGCTAAGGTGGGCCCCCCATCTAGGGTTTAGGGTTTAAGGTTTAGGGTTTGGGGTTTGGGGGACGGGTGTGGCCGCCGCCGCACGCTCACGCCGGCAGGGACCCGCAGCAGTTCCTGCTGCTGCAGGCCCTGCGTCAACTGCGCTTGCATCGCTGCTGCTTCTGCTGCTGCTGCTGCGCAGATTCCGCATTTGCTGGTGGACACGTTCAACCTGCTGCGGGTCCCCGCTGTGCCCCACGGGGTCTTGTGTCTGTCTCCTGACACTGTCTCCTTTTTTTCGTTTGGGGGAGGGCGTTGTGGCGGGGGGAGCCAGCGGCTGCTGGAGGAGCAGCAGGGCAGCAGCAGCAGCAGCAGCAGCAGGGTCGCAGGCATCACCCACGTGCTGCACCCCGCGGGCCTCGTGCGCAAGGACCTGCAGCAGCTTCCCGCTGCTGTGTTCGACCAGAGCCGTCTCCGACTCCGCCTCGAGGAAGGTGCTGCTGCTTTCATCAGCAGCAAATGTCTCTTGCTGCTGTCAGCAGACAACAGGCCCGCGCTGGCCCACCTAGTGAGCCCCTCTGCTGCTGCTGCTGCTGTTGCTGCTGCTGCTGCTAGTTTAAACATTCAACAGGGGCTCTCCTGGTGTGTTTCCCTAGGAACTGCAGCTGATTCCACTAGGCAAGCAGCAGCACCAGCAGCGGCAGCTGCACCTGCAGCAGCAGCAGCAGCAGCAGCAGGTGCAGAGCCAGGTGCGGCTGGCTGCACGGGGAGCTGCTGCTGAGGAGACAGGGAAGCAGCAAAAGGCGTGTGTCTCCCTGCAGGTTGTTGCTGCTGGCCTTGGGGTCTCCGATATCATTTGGACTGCACTTGAGGTCTGTGCCCCCAAGGGGGGCCCCCCCCTCGAGATGCAGGGGGCCCCCGCATTCGAGCTGCCGGGGCAGCTGCTGCTGCCGCGCTCGGACTCGGTTGCCGTGTGGCCTTCGCCAGTAGCAGAGACTCAGGTGTGCTGGTCCCCTCAATCCTGCTGCTGCTGCTGCTGCTGCTGCTGCGTTGCAGTAGCAGCGGGGGCCGTGGCTGCTTGCTGCGGCAGCAGCAGCAGCGCCGCATTGCTTCGTGTTTGTTTGCTGCTGCAGGCCGCGGAAAAAGAGGCAGAAAGCTCACTCTTCAGCAGCAGCAGCAGCAGCAGGCGGTACTTGGTGGCCTTCGGTGGAAGGGCCCGGGAGGGTACAGGAGTGTGCGTGGCTGCAGCAGAGCCGCAGCTGGTGGGGCCCCCCAGGAGGCCCTGGGGGGCGCCCCCGGGGGCCTCCCGGGACCTTCAGGGTTGCGGGTCAAGTCTTTTTGCCGACTCGGAAACAGCAAGAGGGGTCTCGTCGCTGGAAGTTTGCTGCAGCAGGGTGCCGGAGCTGCAGCAGGGCCCCGGCTGCGAGCAGCAGCAGCAGCAGCAGCAGCGGCAGCAGCAGGAGCTCTTCACCACTGACGGCAAACAACTCATTGAGATCTTCCCTGATGGCTCAGTTGACCTTGCTTACCAAAGGGCCCCCATCTTGAGGTATGGGGAGCTGCAGCAAGAAGATGAGGGGCCCCTGCCAGAGTCTTCGCCGCTCGGTTATCTGCAGTGGCTGCGGCAGCAGGCCACTGCAGCAGCAGCAGCGGCAGCAGCATCGGCCCCGCCTGCTGCTGCTGCTACAGAGGCGGAGACAGCAGCGAAAGCAGCAGCAGAGTCCGCGCCGCAGGGTTTCCCGCAGTCGATTGCTGCTGCTGCCGCTGCCCTGAACAGCAGCAGCAGCGCCTTCAGCTGCGGCAGCAGCACCAGCTGCAGCAGCACTGACCTCGACGCAGAGTACCCTGTGGGCGACAACCTGGGCCTCGTGGGGGCCCCCGGGGGGCCCCTGCTGCTGCCCTCTTTTCGCCTGACAGTTTCTGACTGGCTGAGGCCTCAAGGCTTTGCTGCAGCTCGCTGCGTGACTTACCTGCCGCTGCCCCCCCTGGAGTCTTCTGCGACGATTTCCGCTGGCCACCCTCAGCAGCAGCTGCAACAGCAGCTACTGCTGCAGCAGCAGCAGCAAGACCTAGAGGCCTTCTGCAGCACATCAGGAAGCAGCCGCTTCCTTACTGCTGGAGGCCTTTGGCCCCACGGCGCCTTGACGGCCCTCCAGCGAGCTGTGCCCTGCCGCAATCTTGCTGCTGCCACTAGCCTAGAAGGGCAGCCTAGAATTGTGTGGGCCCTGCAGCAGCAGAAGCAGCAGCAGCAGCAGAAGCAGCAGAAGCCGCAGCAGCAGTTGCTGCTGGTGAGCAGCGACCCGCGCATGGGACTGGGAGAAACCCGTTTGCTGTCTGTCCGTGGGGAGAAGCTTGTCGACATCACTGTAGCAGCAGCAGCTGCAGCAGAGAGCAGCAGAAAAGACATTCCCGGTGCTGCCTTTTCTCTAGATGGCCCCACGCTATTTGCTGCGTCGCTGCTGGGGGGCCTCGTGCTGCTGCAGCTGACAGCAGAAGAGCTGCGGGTAACGGGGCCTTTGGGGGCAGCCGCTTTGTGCCTCCCAGTCGACATGACGGAGCCGCCTCAGCAGCAGCAGCAGCATCGACTGCAGCAGAAGCAGGCTTCGCAGCAGCAGCAGCAGCAGCGGCAGCTGCACGATGAGAGCCAGCTAGAAATGCAACAGGACGAGGCGCAGCAACAGCAAGAAGAGGAGGTGCGTCACCTGCAAGAGGAAGAGATCCAGCAAGAACGCCAGAAACAGCACAGCGGCAGCAGCAGCAGCAGCCCAGCAGCAGCAGGAGATGCGCTGGCCTCAGCGGAGGCAGAAAGAGACTTGTATGCGCCCATGGAGGTGGATGCAGACGGGGGCATTGAGCGGACCTCAGCTCAGCTGCCCCACGCAGCAGCAGCAGCAGCAGAAGCAGGAAGCATGTCTCCCTTCCTTGACACAGGCTGGGCAGCAGCAGCAGCAGTTGGTGGCGGAGTTGCTGCTGCAGTCAGAGGCAGTGCGGCAGGCGACTGGGTCTGCGCCGTCCTCGACGACTTCCGCCTGCGCCTGTGGCACATTGACCTTGCTGCAGCAGCAGCAGCAGCAGCAGTAACAGGCAGTGAGGCTCTTGGCGAGGGGGACCCGCACTTGCTGCAGCAGCAACAGCAACTGCTGCTTCAGGAAGTGCCTCCTGAGGCAATGCCGTGTTGCATGCGCGGGCAGGTGAAAAGTGCACAGCTGTACCTACACCCTAGAAGCACTCCCCTCTCTGCTGCTGCTGCAGCAGCAGCAGCAGAGGTCTTGTGCTGCCTCGTGACACTTGAGGGACCCGAGAAGGCCCAGACACTGCACGTGGTGTCTGTACACCGCATGCAGTGTCTCTTCAGCTCAGTCGACCTCCGCCTCGTCTCGCCGCTGCTGCGCAACTGCGGGTCCTGCGCGCAGCTGCAGCTGCAGCAGTTGCTGCTGCAGCAACATTCAGTGCAGCAGCAAGAGGCAGCAGCACTAGGCGGAGCTCCAGAAAGCACCAGCAGCAGCAGCAGCAGCAAGAGCGCAGATGGTCGGCTGCGCGAGGACATCTTACAGTCGCCAGGAGCTCATGGAGAGACAGCAGAGGGACCTCCACAAAAGCAAGCAGCAGCAGCAGCAGCTGCAGCAGCTGCTGGGGCAGCAGCAGCAGCAGCAGCAGCAACACTTGCTGAGGAGGGCAGTTTGGATGCCAGGCGTTCCGTGACCTGCATAGCTGCGGACCCGTTGCCTCTGACTCGGCCGGCAGAGGGCGGCATCTCTGCTGCTGCTGATGCTGCTGCTTCAGCAGCAGATCTTGAGGCAGCAGAAGAAGCTGCAGCACCAGGTGCTGCTGCTGGGGAGCTACAGGAAGAGGTCTTGAGCGCCGAGCTGCTGCTGCTAGACCCCACAAGTGACGAGGGCCCCACACTAGTGGTGTTCCTGACGGGGCGGCCTCCACTGATCTACCGCGGGTTTGCTGCTGCCTCTGCCGCAGCTGCTGCTGCAGCCGTTGCTGCAGCAGGTGCTGCTGACGCGGCTGCAGCAGATGCTGCTGACGCGGCTGCAGCAGCTGCCGCTGCTGCTGGAGAGTCGCTGCAGCTACTCAGCAGCGCCTCCTTTCCAACGGCCTTCCGGCTGCAGCTGCATACATGCACTGAGTGCATCCCTTCTCTGCAGAAGCTCCCAGCAGCAGCAGCAAAAGCAGCAGCAGCCGCAACAGCAGCTGCTGCTGAACCCTCGGTGCAGTTTGCTGTTTCCTCGGGCTACGCCACAGCCCCGCAGCAAGTGCAGCAGTGGGGTGGCGGGGTTAGCCTGGTGGTGCCGCCGTTGCCGCTGTCGGGCCAGCAGGAGCAACAGCAGCAGCTGCTGCTGCAGCAGCTGCAGCAGCTGCCGGTGCTGTGGCTCTGCAGCAGCCGCAACCAGCTGTACGTACACCCCAACGAGCGCAGAGACACCCTCAGCGCCGCCAGCTTCACCTGGGCCGGGGGCCCCCCAGGGTCTTTTGCGTTTCTGCATGAGGGGGGCCCCACTTTGTGTCTGTCGGACATTGCTGCTCCTTTTGACAAGTTTCGCTGCTCCCCGGAGCCAGCTGCAGCAGCCGCAGCCGCAGCAGCAGCAGCAGCAGCAGCAGCTGAGGAGGTTCCTAGTACCCTGGGGCCCTTCAGGCTCGATGGGCCCCTCCCCTCTTCCTCTTTCTTGCTGGGAGCCTCTGTGACCCATGTGGCTGTCTCTTCTGGCTCCGACTACGTGCTGCCGCTGCAGTACAGGAGAGACGCAGCAGCAGCAGCAGCAGCGTCAGGGGGAGCCGCCTCCGCAGCAGCAGCAGCAGCAGCAGGCGCGCCTGTGGGGCGCCTCGTCGCGGTGTCTCTACACCACCCCACAGAAGAGACAGAACAAATCAAAGCTGTTCTTGAGACTCGGAACGCCTTGCAGCGGGCGCACTTGGCGCTGCTGGGCCGTTCTGGGGAAGCAGCAGCAGCAGCAGCGGGAGCGGCCGCTGCAGCAGGCGGCGGCGAGCTGCAGCACGAGGAGGGATGGGGGGGCCCCCAAGGTGGGGGCACCCTGCCCGTGGCCGGGGGGCCCCCTGATGGCCGCGTCCACCCAAACCCTTATTTAGCTGCTTGCGTGGATGGCCGGGTGGAGGTGGAGGGAGAAGAAGGCAAGCAGTTCGAGCTGCTGCTGCTGCACCAGGACAACTTGCAGGCCCCCCTGGGGTAAGCCGCGCTGCTGCTGCTGCTGCTGCTGCCGCTGCTGCTGCTGATGCTTGTGGGAGTGGCGGTGGTGGTGGTGATAGTGCTTCTGCTGCTGGGTCGCTTGCATTTGCTGCTGCGTCGGCCTTGGTTTGTCCCCTTGGCGCCGTCGCTGCTGCTGCTGTTCTTCTGCTGCCAGTCCTTTTGCTGCAGCTACGCTGCTGCAGCTCTCATTTGCTGCTTGGCTGCGGGCGCTGTGCGCTTGTGTTTCAAGCCTCACCTCCCTCGTTGCTGCTGCTGGTGTGCTGCTGCTGCTCTTGTGCTGCTGCTGCTGCTGCTGTGCTGTTGTGTTGCTTCTGTGCTGCTGCTGCTGCAGTTCGTTCTTGCTGGGCCCCTGCGAGGAGGTGACTTCGCTGCAGTTTGTGCTGCTGGACGCCGTAGAGTTTTTGGCCGTGGGAGTGGCGCAGCCGCTGGGGGAAGGAGTTGCTGCTGGGGGTCGTTTGCTGCTGCTGCGGCTGCCCCCGCTGCTGCCATACGGGCACGCAGCAGCAGTAGCAGCAGCAGCAGCAGCGGGAAACCAGCGGCAGGAGGTGAGAGCCTGCACCCCAGAAAACTCAGCAGCAACCCGGTCTTTATTTTATCTCCACTTTGTCTCCTCCTGTCTCTCTCTTTGTCTCTTTTCTCTTTTTATTCTTTTTTCCTTTCCTTTTGTATTCGTTTGCCTCTCTCTTCATGTCTCTCTGTCTCTTTTGCCTCCTTTCCCGTTTCTCCTTTTATCTTCTTTTTCCTTCTTTGGCTTTTTTGATCTTCTTTGTCGTGATTTCTTTTGTCTCCTTTTATCTGCTTCTTCATTTTTCCATTGCCTCCCTTTGTTGTTCTGCTGCTGTTGCTGCTGCTGCTGCTCAGGAGGAGGGTTTGGGTCTTTTTTCCAGTTTTGTTTTCGAAGGTCCTGTTTGCTGCCTCGGCTCTTTTGCCCCTTCTTCAGCAGAAAGACACTATTTGCTGCACTCCGTCGGCCGCCGCCTCTTCATCCACGTAGGGTTCAGGGTTTAGAGTTTAGAGTTTAGGGTTTAGGGTTTAGGGTTTGGGACTACAGTTTAAGATTTGAGACTAGGGTTTAGGGTTTGGGACAAGGATTTAGGGTTTGGTGATCAGAGCTTAGGGTTTAGCCACTAGGGTGTGGGGGTTTGTGTAGGGTTTAGGGTTTAGGCTTACGGTTTAATCACTATGGTTTAGGGTTTGGAAAGTAGGGTTTGGGGTTTGGCGAATAGGGTTTAGGGCTTGGCGACCAGGGTTTAGGGTTTAGGGATTGGCGACCAGGGTTTAGTGTTTGTCGAGCAGGGTTTGGGGTTTGGTAACGGGTTTAAGTTTCCTGTGGTTTAGGGTTTGGTGATTAAGGTTTCGGCTTTAGCGACTAGGGTTTAAGGTTTGACGATTATGGTTTAGGGTTTCGCGTTTTCGCCTAGGGTTGCCCTCTGGCTGCGTGGAGGTGTCCAGGGTTTAGCATTAAGTTGTTAGGGTTTAGGGTTTCAGCTTTAGGGTTTCCCTAATTTCTTTCTCCTTCTTTTGTTTTATTTTTATTTTCATTTTGTCTTTTTCTATTTTCTGTGTTCTTGCCATCTTTGTGCTTTTGCTTTGCTTCGTTTGCTGCTTCATTTGCTGCTCTCTCGCTTAATTTCTGCGGGTTTTTCGCTTTTTCTGCTGCTACTGCTGTTGCTGCTGCAGGAAATGGACGGAGACCTTTTGGCCCGCGGGGCCTTTGCAGATGTCGGCGTCTCCCTTTCGGCTGTTTCCTCTTTGAAAAATTTTCTTGTTGCAGGAGACCTATTCAAAGGAGTTTCTTTGCTCGCGTTAGCTGCTGCTGCTGCTGCTGCTGCTGGTTTGAGTGCTGCTGCTGGTCTGGGTGCTGCTGCTGCTCTTGGCGCCGCTGTGGTTGCTGTTGGTTCTGCTGCTGCATCTGCTTCTGCTGCAGCTGTTGCTGCTGCTGCTATTGCCTCTGCTGTTGCACCTGCTATTGCTGTCGTCTGTGCTACTACAGTTCGCGTTTTTGCTGTTGCTGGTGTGTCTGTTGCTGCTTGTACGCCTGGTGTTGCTGTTGCTTCTGCGCCTGTTGCTGCTTCTACGTCCGCCGCTGCTGCTGCACCTGCATCTGCTGCTGCTGCCGCTGCTGCTGCTGCTGAAGCTGGCGCTTCGACTCTGCATCGGACTCGAGGCGTCTGGAGCTCGTCAGCCGCACTGTGGCTCACTGGCTGCTGTCGGTGACTGCATGCGACGCGGTTTCCTTAGAAGACAGAATCTGTGGGGCCTTTGCTGCTGCTGCTGCTGCTGCTGTTGCTGCTGTTGCTGTTGCTGCGCTGTCTAAGGGGCACAGGTTTTCTGTTGCTATTATCTAGGTGTCTGTTGACGTGGCTCATTAATGGCATTTTGATGACTAAGTCATTTTTTAGTTTTTTATTCTTTTATTACTACTTCTTCCTCGGTTAGTTAACACTGCAATCTTCTGCGGCTGCACGTGGGCCGGCTCTTGTCAACCGCGCATGCATGCACTATGCATGCATGCATGCATGCATGCATGCATGCATGCATGCGCGTTTATTTGGAGCTTCGAGTCTGTGCATGCGTGCATGCGCTCTTACTTGGGGCTTTGGGGCTTTGGGGCCTCAGGTGTTGTTGCTGCTGACCCCTGGGGCAACTTTCGCCTCTTCGCCATTAATGACTCCAAGGAATCCTCGCCGCCCATGCTCCAGCAGCTTCAGGTTTGCTGCTGCTGCTGTTGCTGCTGCTGCTGCTGTTGTTGCTGCTGCTGCTGCTGCTGCGGCTCCTGCACCTGCTGCAGCTGCTCCCGCTGCTGCTTCTGCTGGGCTTATCTGCGGCCATAGCTTGTGGGCCTGTTGAGGTCACCGATGTTTTAGGGGCTGCTGCTGCTCATACTGCCGCTGCTGCTGCTGCCGCTGCTGTTGCTGCTGCTGTTCCAAGTAAGTCTGCCTCTTCTGTTGCTGCTTGCTGCAGGTGCTGCGCTGCGACTCGGAGTCCATGGAAGCTGACTCCCCAGTTGTGGCCTTCAAGCAGACGCAGACCGAGCTAGGAGACGTTGCATGCGTTAGCTGCTGCTGCTGCTGCTGCTGCTGCTGTTGCCGCCGCTACCGCTGCTGCTGCCGCTTCTGTGGCTGATTTTGGTAGTGCTGTGGCCCCGTTGGCGTTGCAGCTGCAGCTGGTGAGCGTGTAGGGCGCGAGCTGCTGCTGCTGCTACTGCTGTTGCTGCTGCTGCTGCTGCCACTGCTGCTGCTTCAGGCTGCGTGGACTGCTGAGGGGGGCATTCTATCATTTCGGCTGGTTGATAACTCCTTTTCAGATTTGCTGCTGGAGCTACAGGTTTGCTTCTTTATTTCCTGCTGCTACTTTGCTGCTGTTTCTCTAGCATTATGTCTTCTTTCGTCTTGTGTCTTTTCTTCTTTCAGCCGCTGCTCGTCCACTTCTTTGGCTGCTACTGCGTCTGCTGCTGCTGCTGCTGATGCAGTGACGTTTCGTATTGTTGCTCACCTCCCGCTGTCGCTGCTGCTGCTGCTGCTGCTGCTCCTCTTCAGGCCTGGCTAGAGACATCTTTGCCCTCAGAGTGCGGCTTGGGCCCCACAGCAGCAAGAGTCCCTGCGGGGACTCCCTCTGTGCACTTGAATTTATGGATAGCGCAGCAGCAGCAGCAGCTGCAGCAGCAGCTGCAGCAGCTGCTGCAACAGCAGCCGCTGCAGCAGCTCCGCGCGCAGGACCAGGGCAGAAGCCCTTCCGCCGCATCGGCAGCATCGACCGCAGCAGCAGAAGCAGGAGCTGCCGCTGCTGCTGCAGCAGACGCAGGGCTGCTGCTGCAGCAGCTGGAACTCAAGGCGCATGCTGCTCTCCGCTCGCGGCTACCGCTCTTCGCTCCTTTGCTGCGCTGCTTCTGCTTTTTATCTGTCCCCGTGCAGCAGCAGCTGACAGCAGCAGCACCTCCTTCGCTGCTGGCGCTGCTGCAGCACCGCTTCGGAGCCCCAGGGGGGGGCCCCCAGGGTCCTGAGGGGCCCCCCGGGGCCCCTGGGGCCGCCTTTTCTTGGGTATGTTTGAGCTCAGAAGGTTTCTTTCTCTGCCTCTTTGTTTATTTGTGTAATTTGAAAACTGCAAATACTTTTAGAGTTTTCATTTGCTGCTGTGTCCTGCAGGCGGCGCTGCGCGGGGCCCTAGCGGGGGGCCCCCTGAGGGGCCTCGACTTGCCTTCTGTACCCTTCAACTAGCTGTTGCTTTTAACCAAGGGGGCCCCTGGGGGTCCCTTAAGGGCCCCTTGGGGCCCCCCTGTGGGGCCCCTTGAAGAGCCCCTGGAGTTCTCCCAGGCTTTCTTTGTGGGGCCCCCGTCGCAGCGCCTGGGGCTACCCGCAGCGATAGGGGGCCTCTTAAGCTGTGGGGGCCCCCTAAAGGGTGGGGTGCCCCCGCCCCTCCCGGGGCCCCTCCTGTGGAAGGGGGGCCCTTGAGTCTGGGGGCCCCCAGGGCCCCACGCGGGCGAGCCGCAGTCGCTGCGTAGCCCATTTTGGGGCTGTTTTGCATGCATGCAGCCCAGGGTTGCTATCTGCGGCGTTGCCGCTGATGTCTTGTGTCTTTTAATCAATTAAGAGACAGATATTGCTGCCCCGAGGAAAACTGCTAATTGGATGGCGGGGCCCCCGCAATCTGGGGCCCGGGGGACCCTTAGGGGCCCCTCAGGGGCCCTCAGAGTCCTCCAGGGGCCCTCAGAGCCCCCCAGGGGCCCCCAGAGTCGCCCAGGGGCCCTTAGAGCCCCCTAGGGGCCCCCAGAGTTCCCCAGGGGCCCCTAGCATGTTTCTATGGGAAATTATGAGGGTCCTATAAGGGGCCCCTGCGTCGAGCCCTAGGAGGGTATAGGAGGCCTTGAAGGGCCCCTTTGGGGGCCGGCAGGGGCCCTCTTTGGGGGCCCCCCGCAGGGAAACTAAGGAACTCAGTGAACGTGTGTGTAGGCTTACTGTTGAGACTTTAGATAAGGAAAGAGGCAGCAGCAAAGACAGTGCAACAGGGGGTATTAAGGAGACAAAAAAAACAAATAAGAAGACATAAAGAGACAAATAAAGAGTCATAAAAGGCCCAACAAGTAGCTGTCAATGGGGAGGCCGCTGCTCCAGCTTTGAGGACCCCCAGAATCTCGAGGGGCCCCTGAGGGGGCCCTTAGAGGGCCCTTGAGGACACCTTTGGGGGCCCCTGAGGTGGCCCTTAGAGGGCCTCTGAGGAGTTCTTTGCGGGCCCCTAAGGGGCCCCCAAAGGGGCCACGGACGTCCCCTTAAGACCGCCTGATGTCCAGAGGGGCCTCCTTAGGTACCTACAGAGCGTCTGGGGGTAAACCCAGGGGGCCCCCGGGGGCCCCTTTTAGGGTCTGAGGGTCCCTCTTAATAGGTCCCCCCTGAGAGCCCAGGGGGCCCCGTTAGGGACCTCGTAGGGGGCCCCGCAGAGGGACATAGGACCGTCTGTGGGGCCTCACTGAGAGCCATGGGTGCCCCCTAAGTGGCCCCTAAAACAGCCTCTATGAAACATTTTGGAAAACTTTCCAGGTGCCCGCTGGACTCGCCTGCGTCCCGCCCCGTGGGGGTCCCCCGGGGCCCCCCGGGGCCCCCGGAGCATCCCAGGACCCCCCAAGGGAACCCAGGGGCACCCCAAGGGAACCCAAGGGCGCCACGGGGGAACCAAGGGGCCCGCTGGAGGGCACCGTGGGCCCTTGATGGGGCCC